AAATGAGAAAAGGCTGTTTGAGAAAATCAAAAAGCCCCATCATACCTAGGACACCTCCATTTATTTCCCCACACCCTGAGGACTCACAGTAAAGGCTCCAGTCTCCAGATCCATCATGTGAATGACACAATCACCTCCAGCCATCAGAAGACTATTATCCTGGAGAAGATGGGGGAGAACGGAAAGAATGTGGGCCTGAAGAAGTCTCCCGAGCTGTGTTGACCCATCTCCCAGATTGCCCAGTGGCCATACCTTCAGATTCAGCTGCAGGCTGTTGATTTCTGGCACTTCAAGTCTACTTCTGAAGAGAAAAGGAAAGGCAAGCCTTCAATCTCTACACGTGCATGGGCAGGAAAAAATAATGGTGACAAAAACAAAAGAGCAAAACTGGGCTTTACCCATAAGGTGGCCTCCTACTCCAAGCTTCTTTGCAACTCTAAAATGGAAGCCAAGGAAAGGCATCTTAAGAATAACAGAGCAATCAGAAAACCCACAGCCAGGTTAGGGTGAAGAGGTGTAGGAAGGTGGTGGGAAGAACCCACTCATACCTTTTTCACAATCTCACTCCAGTTCCAGGCCTTGACCTCTCCATTGCCAGCACTTAACAACTGCCGATCGGTGGAAACCATGGCGTAGATAGCTCCATTGTGGGCTATGGAAAGAAGAAGGATGTTTCAGGATGGTGGGACATGCCTTCTGGGGAATCTTCAGCTTAACCAAATAAACTCAGGGAAGCACCCACACTGATGCCACATGGAGGATTCCTCCCGGTACTTTTTTTCTCAGTACCAGGTTCCATAAACACCATTAAAAAATATGATGCCTGGGTGAGGGACAGGCTTGCTCAACCATGCTGTCTGCTGACTCTTGAGCATGAAAGAACAAGCCAGATTACTATAGACAAAGCTAAGGCACCTCTGAGTTTTCTGTGCTCACCAGACCACAGTCACCAACCTGCAAAGGACACCACAGGCTTCTTGCTCTCCTCCTTGGCTTCTGAACTTAATGCTGATGAAAGGCTGTCCAAGAAGAAACAGTGGAGGGAAGTGAAACACAAAGGTGGTCTTGTTTTTTTAAAAAATAAAAACAAAAGCACATTCAGTGATAAGCCACCTCCAAATACCTGAATATGGCAATTTCTCCATAGTTGTTTCCAGCTGCTAAGTATTTGCCACAAGGTGAAATGCTTTGTGTGTATATGGTCATGTGCAAGAGCTCAAGAGATCGTTGAATGTCCATCTGGCAAAAGATGCAAAGGGGAAAACAAATTCAAAAAGAACTGTCTTGCTAAAGCAGAGGTCCACCTAGGCTGCACCCAGAGTTGTTCTTTGTGGGTATCCTTCTGTTAAGTACCAATCAGCCTCTCTAGGTACAAATGAACCACTAAATAGGAGGTCTAACCCTGATTCTTTTGAGACCGACACACAGTGCTGTGCAGAAAAATTGTCCTGTGTTTCCCCCTACCAGTTCTCCTTCAGTGTGATGAAAGAATTCCGTCCCCACATTCATTTTAAGGAATAAGAGAACTTCAGTGAATACTCATGGGTGGAAGGGAGGGTGTTCTTACACTTGTACAACTTGGCCAAGGCGCGCTCATGCGTGTGTGTGTATGACCTGTCTTTCACTGTGCAATTGCCTTTCCAGCCTTCTACAGCCCACAATGTCCCCTGTGCCTCGATGAAACCCCAAAGAAAGACATCATGAGGAAACACCACCCAATGGGTTTCTACAGACTGGGAAGGCTCCAGAGTGAGGGAAAGAGATGTAACCAAAAAAAAAAAAAAATCAGCATTAGTTGCAGCATCATCCACAATGAAGTAAGCTATAAAACACCACCAAGGGAAATCTGAAATAAATTCACAAATTTCCTGAGATGGAGATAAAGTAGAAAAGCAAGAGCCTTTCCCACCATCCTTGTAAAGGCTTTTGTGGGGGGGCTTTTGAGAATTGCAAGGCCGTTCTCAGTACAGCAATAAATGGTGTTCATAGGTCAACTGAGAGCAGCTTTTCTAGTGGAGAGGAGATGTATCTACTACTGCATTCTTGCCTTTTGATGTGCTGATAAAGGCACACATTCTTTGCCAGCAAGGGGAGGGTGGGAAGGCAAAACAGCAGTATTTTTAAACTACAGTTGAGCCTAACAGATGGATCAACAGTCTCTGAAAGATGCTTGCTTGAGTTTTAGATAAAAGCTTGCCAATATTTGCACATTTCTTTATGAAAATGGGAAGAACTTAAATTTTGTTTTAAAAATAAATGGGGGAGAAAGGAAAATCAATAAACTAATTTATCCAGGGATCTGAAAGGCTTGGAGATTCAGCTTTCCAAAACCAGGGTTTGAATCCTTTTTGCTAACAAAGTCAGATCATGACCTCTTTTTGGCGAGCTTCCTCTTCTTTAATAGCTATATAGCACATCGGTGTAATGTTGGGAGTAGTAATAACTTTCAGATTTGGCCAGTATAGCTGGGAGGGAATTGTATGCACTTCAATCTTTATGTGAACCTACCATAATTCACACATTTCTTTGTAATGGTTTGGAAAAAAACTTGAGATCCAAAACATACTATAAGTTGGAAAGAAGCAAAACTGTTAGATGTAGTCATCATTCTTTCTGGTTGGCTATGTGGGTGCCACACCCGAATCTGGAATAATGCAGAGGCAAACAGATAACCTAAATGTTTGCACACATTATCCTCCTTTGCTTTCCTTGATATGTTCTACTTTTTCCCAGCTATCCTTCTGCTCGTATACATTATGGGTACATTTATATCACACAAATAATGTAAAATAACCTGCTGCAACACCCGATAGTTACAGCAGCTTCCAGTAACAAGCCGAGACATAAAGAAGTAGAGATACTGGAAGCCGCCATCCTCAGTCAATCTAACCAAGTGGGCTCTGAAAGATTTCAGGTCATAATTTTTCCAGCTATGCTGGAATGAACCTGGAAACTCCTACATGCAAAGCGTGTGCTCTACTATTATTCAGACAAAGGAGCAGGGAACTCGTACAACAGTTTTACAAGAAGTACAAAATTATAAACTAATCATTTCTGCTAAGGGCATGATACACTGTTCTACACATGGTGGACTAGTTTGTACTTCAGTGAGGTATACAAGCAGGCTTATAATTATGATTTGGCAGGATACCATACCAGCCACCCTCTCTCCCACACATGGCTAAGGAATCTGATGCTTTTTCAACTCAGATCAGATCTTATTGTCCTTAGGAAATGTAAAAGGTTTGTAAGAATTGCTCAGCAAATACAATATAGTTTTAGATACTGAGAATGTGGTTTAAAAGAAATGTGCAACTTCAAACTAATATTAATTATTATTAACAAGTATCTCCAACTAAAGAGGCAGGCTGTATGACTTTACTTGCAGATGAAATCCTATTTATCACCATCCTGATGGATACTGAGGAGAAATCAGTTCTAAAATGGCAGTTCAACAAAACCCTGAACTGTGCTCTGAGATTATTTTTCCAACACTGCAGATCAGGTGGCGAAAAGACAGCGGCTCATGAGGATCCTGTAGCCAATTATTAAAGGCCTCATAATACAGAATGGTTGGCAGGGAAAAATGATACAAGCAGCCTGCATTACATGACCATTGCATGCAATAAGGGAAAGACAGATGACATGGGTGTTCAGGTGAGTAGCTCTTACGTGTTGGAGGGGAGCAGGATTGCCTCCAGCATCCATACACAAGTTTTGCACCAGGGGCTGCAGTTCTTGCCAGCAGGTGAGCTGACACAACATCCTGATATGGATATTTTTATACGGGCAGGGCTCGTATAAAATGTAAAGTTTTCCTAGAGCCTGGCTTGACCCCTGGTGACTTCATAAACATGCTTGCATAGTGCTCTTGGCAACAATACTGAAGTGGCTTGCCATTGCCTTCTCCGTTGTCCTGCCTTGTGAATGGCGAGCAAGGTGGGGACACCCTATTCATAACAAGGGGGCTGCCACCAAAAGGCATGCCTCCAGACCCTCCCTCTTTTCACTTCACCTGGAGAGATGACCCCCAGCAGCTCTTCTTGGGATGAATGCAGAGGATGGGCTGGCAGCAGGTCTCCACTTTAACACTACACTATCCTGCACGCTCACACTGACCAACAGATCCAGTTTCATTGGAAACAAACTGGATTCAATGCAAGCTGCAGTGAGCAATAAGTAGCAAGTATCCAAGTTTCACTGCACTGCTATTTCACTGCTGTTTGCTTTACTGCTACATTTGCTTCTAATTTTGTTGCAAGAGATATACTTTTGTCACCTCACATTTGATTTTATCACAAAGAGACTGGATATAAATATTTAAATAATAGGATTTTTAAAAAATCATGATTAAAACCACTGTTAAGAACAGACATAACTGGGTAAAATAGAAACCACACTGCAATAAAAATGAACTGCTTAAAGCAATGTTTCTCAACCTCAACAACTTTAAGATGGACTTCAACTCCCAGAATTCCCCAGTTACCATGCTGGGGAATTCTGGGAGTTGAAGTCCACATATCTTAAAGTTGCCGAGGTTGAGAAACACTGGCTTAAAGCTTACATGTGAATAACTAGGGAAGTGAGCCTTATTTTAAGTAAACATGAACAAGGTTGCACCAGCTAAATTGCTAATTTAATCGTTCCCTTCCAACTTTCCTTCCTAGCTCGAATTCAGTGCTCAGATGGTGGGAAACCTGCTTTGCATTTTAGCCTATTTAATCACTCAGCCTTCCCACAAGCCTTCACCTATGCTAAACTACAACTCCCATCTACCCCAGCCAGGCTGGTAAATCGCTGGCTGAATGAGCCCAACCTTTCCCATATTGGGAAAAGCGGACGGTAGGGGGCGCGAGTCAACAATTTAGAGTCGATCTCGATGGTTAAAAGTAGAACGACGAAAACGCAAAACTCAAAGAATGACGGGATTCCTTGTTTCAGCCGCCTGGTTATCAGGGAACTACACTTCCCACAATCCCTCACACTAAGCATCACTTCTCGTCACGTGACGATTGTGGCTCTTCTAGGTTTCCCGACTGGCTGTGGTGCACTATTGTGAGAACAGCGTGAAAAATAATCTTAAAGACGGTAAGAATTGTTTTTCTTTTTAAATTCTGCGATGGAATAGCGCATGCGCGTATCCTACCGCCCGGTCCGCATTCTAACCCCTCTTTCAATTCCCCGCCTCCCACCCGGCAGCGTGCGCGTGCACTGACCGTTACTAGCTGCTCATTTTCTTCTCCACAGCGCGCACGTGCAAAGGATCAACCGAGCACCCTACCCCACCCTCCGAGGTAGCCACGCCCCTTCCTGTGATCGTGGCCAGGTCCAGCCGCCAGTGGCAGGCCACTAGACCAGCGCAAGGCATGCTGGGATTCGAGTTTTTCTACTTGAACGCTGTAAGGCATCGGAGAACGCCCTAAAAATGGCTGTCAAGGAGCGCAAAGCCTGTTGGGGACCCGATTTTTTTGACAGCCTGTAGGCTGGGCGGGATCAGCGAAGCCAAACCCGGTCAAAGCGAGTTTCTTTTATCCTGGATGGGCCTGGCGAGCCCGGAGGGTCAAGGAAATCCCCTGTGATCCTTTTAATCCTTGATCCTCTGCAATAAAAAGTTGCGGGGTATTTTTAATGATGTTGGCTGTGCTTAGGAGTTGAATTGTTGAGAGCTCTGAAAATCAAGGCATTTATTTTGTGAAAAAAATACAGTCTCTGATGTGGCTCAATCTTACGTCAGAGCAAACATAGTTACAATGACCATATGTCCTTTACTTTAGAAACCTGTCCCTAGATTTATTTATTCCTCAAAAACTCACTTTTGTCCTTTATTTTTGTCGTTTAACTTTTACCGTACAAATGGTACCGCTTAATGCAAAGTCTTTCACATTCATTTGAGCAATATGGAAATTGAATTGTCTTTTTAAAATAAATGTATATATACTATTTGATTTCATATATTTTTATTAGAATGCGTGTTTTTGTAAAGTTTTTCTTGGTTTTGCTCTTGAATTTTCCTCTGTAAAGCAAAGCTATAAACTTTTTTTTTTTATCCTTATGAACCTCTTTCAGATTTGCAGCTTTTTC